GGCTCACACCTGTAATCCCAGCACTTTGGAGGCCAAGGTGAACAGATTGCTCAAGCCCAGGAGTTCGAGACCAGTCTGAGCAATATGGTGAAACCCCATCTCTACTAAAAATACAAAAATTAGCCAGATGTAGTGGCGGGCACAGCTGCTCAGGAGGCTTAGGCTCGAGAATGGCTTGAGTCTGGACGCTGGAGTTTGCAGTGAGTGGAGATGGCACCACAGCACTCCAGCCTGGGTGACTTAGCAAGATCCTGTCTCCATAAACAACAAAAAAGAGTGGATTTTGTGACTTTTTGATGGCTTTTATATTTACTTGTACTTCGCTAAGGTCAAGTCTTTAAAGACAACTTTAGATATCTTTAAAAGACAACTTCAGACATTTTTTTAAGCTTTTTTAACTGCTTATGCATTAGCTTCACTAATGTTCTGTTTTCTCTCAGTCTCTTGCTGAACTCAGCTGAAGTTCCAACTGCTCAGATTACTCTGTTTTGCCTATTTATTGGTAATTCATGGAACATGGTGCTGCGGTGGTGGTGTTGCTTTTTTTAATTTTTTTATTTTTTTCATCATCACTATATGCAGTGCCCAGAACAGTGCCTTGAATATAGTAGAAACTCCTCTCTCTCTCTCGCTCTCTCACTCGCTCGCTCGCTCTCTCTCTCTCTTTTTTTTTTTTTTTTTTTGTCTCTTTGAAAGCGAGTTTCACTCTCGTTGGCCCAGACTGGGAGTGCAATGGTGGCCGATCCTCAGCTCAACTGGCAAGCGCTCCGCCCTCCCAGTTCAACGCGATCTCCCTGCTTCAGGCCTCACCGAGTAGCTGGGATTATAGGCCCCATCGCACCACGCGAGCGGTCAGCTTCAATTTTGTATTTTTTTTTTTTTTTTTTTTTTTTGAAGAGCAGAGTCGGGCTGTGCACCAGGCTGGAAGTGCAGTGGCGCCGATGCTCGGGCTCACTGCAAGCTCCGCACCTCCCAAGGTTCCACAGCGGCATTGCTCCCTGGCCTCAAGGCCTCCCCGAGTAAAGGCTGGGACTAAACAGGGCGCCCACCCCACCCACCAAGACCCTGGGCTAGTTTTTTGTATTTTCAGTAAAAAAGAGCGGGGTTTCACCAATGTTTAGCCTTCAGCCGATGGTGCTCGACTCCTGACCTGTGATCCACCCCGCCGCTCCAGGCCTCCCCCAAAAAAGTGCTGGGAGTTTTTTCTAGCACGGCTTGAGGCCCACCGCAGCCG